ACACTGGAGAAACGGAGGGAGAGAGCAGATCTTATTGAAGTCTTCAAACTCATCCAGGGCATAGACAAAGTAAACTATAGGATTTTTTTTCACTAAATCACATGTCACCCATAAAAGGGCCCTAACCCTTCATAGCCATGCATCGACATAATGTTGTGTGTGGCTATACAGTAAATACAGATATTTTAATTTGCATACCAAGGCCTGGGGAATCACTCAGTCACTCACTGTATCACTCACAGCACGGCTCCCACCTTGACCTCTGATATTTGTGACAAAACTCAAAATCACACCAACATGTGACTGTGAAAATGGAATGAGGCGGTTGTTGACAGTGTTCCTTGTCGTAAATCGTGTATTTTAATTTTATTTATTTATTTATTTAGGGGATTATTTACGTATACATCCCATTAAAAGCATTTTAAAATTTAAAATTTTAGATAACTACCAACGATAAATACACAAACTCTGACGGGCACTGTGAAATACACTGCTACTGTTAGTGTTAGTACAGAGATCAGTGATTTGCGCAGGCACATGTGCCTTGTTCCCTTGCGTTTGGCAAGTGCGCCCGATTGTAAACATGTAGGTATCAGGACTGGGAATGAGGTTGCCGCGATTCCGTCAACAGTTTACGACCAGGCAGTGAAAGCAATGTGTGGAAGTTGTTGCATTCTTGTATTCTATGTCTGTTGTGTTGGTTTTTCCGTACTGCCACCAATATTAGACGTGTGTATGTACAACGTAAACTCATAGACGCATTCATTGATCGACCTTATAAGCGTGTTTTGTGTAATAACATTTAATCATGTCTGAAAACTTTACTGATGCGAAGCTGCAAAAGTTAAAGGTAAGCAAATATATCCTAGCCCTAGTACTAAGTATAGGCACTGTATTCACTGTTCAGTTCAGTTTTGAGCCTCATACTCATAGTCATAGTCATAGTCATAGTTAACCCGACCAGGCTGTGTGACTAACGTCAATACACCCTAGGTATCTAACCCTAGCAATACCGTTTCTTGGAGCTAAGTCATAGTCATAGTCATAGTCATAAGACAATGACATAACTAAAATGATAGTTTTTTACTCTTCTTCTACTTCTTCAAGTACTTGTTCTTTTTCTTCCTCCTCTTCTTCTTCTGAATCTGTCTTAACTTCTGAATCTGTAAGAACTTCTGGTAGTGCCTAGTCACTAGTGGTACTACTACTAGTAGTAGTACTACTACTACTAGCTCTAGTACTAGCTATAGCCCGCGGATCGCTGCCGCAGGGCTATAGCACATTCTGCCATAGATGTAATCTAAGCAAATGGTCCAACTGATGTGACCAAAAATTTATCCCCAAAACGTAAAATGATCGGGCTTTTTAACACTTATCTATGCTGTTATTCCTCAAAGTCTTAGCACTGAAGAGTCACGCGTGCACACATAAGCAGAGCAACCGCATTTGAAAACAAAACACCAGTAGTGCTAAGACTTTGAGGAATAACAGCATAAATACCTGGTGTAAAGTTGTGGAAGTGTTCAAAAAGATAGGTGAGATGTCCATGTTGATAGATAAGTGTTAAAAAGCCCGATCATTTTACGTTTTGGGGATAAATTTTTGGTCACATCAGTTGGACCATTTGCTTAGATTACATCTATGGCAGAATGTGCTATAGCCCTGCGGCAGCGATCCGCGGGCTATAGTACTAGAGCTAATCTCTACTAGCTAGGCTACTCTCCTAGCTCTACTCTACTACTACTAGGCTATGTTTTCAATAGCTCTAGCCTCTAGGCTCTAGTACTATAGATTATAGGCATAGCATAGGCTAGCCCGCGTACAGTTGCCGCAGGGCTATAGAACATTCTATTACGAATGCTCGCGACCAACTTATTCACGGTTACTCGCGGCTATAAAACGTCTGTGGTAGGAAATTAATGTTTCTTATCCGAAGTAAATATGTCTTAAGTTATATCCGCTACTAAAATTTAACCTCTAACTATCGTTGAAATGGTCTCTACTTGCGGTATTTCTTGTGAACGACCATTATTTACGAACTTCAAACGGCCATTTTTGGTGGCGCTGCAGCAGTGCCAGTCGGAGGGAACTATGTTACGTATTTCCGCACGTGGAGGGGTGGGCGGGTTGGGATTTGGTTGTCGACAAAAACGTTGTTGTCAAGTAACAAATTAAGCGATCAAAAAAGATTGTAATATTAGTTTTGTCATGAAAGATAAACAAATTACTATTATTAATTTGTTACTTGACAACAACAATGTTTTTGTCCACAACCAACACAACCCGCCCACCCCTCCACGTGCGAAAATACATAGTTCCCGCTGACTGGCTGGAGTAAGTTGGTCCCAAGCATTCGTAATAGAATGTTCTATAGCCCTGCGGCAACTGTACGCGGGCTATAGTGCTAGAGCTATGTTTTCAATGGCAATGCCAGTGACAGTCAGTGGCAGTGCCATTAGCATTGACAATAAATACTGAATCGGGCCCGAGATTAGTTTAGCACCCCAGATTCATTTAGCACATATGCGAAAACATATTTGCGGGGTCCCAAACTGTCCTTTATCAGATAATAGCTTTTAGCTCAAATAATCGGTCATGTATCAAAAAACCGTTTTAGACTAAACCGACCAGGCTCTCTGACTGTTACACGGCAGAGGAGCCTGACACCCTTCCATACGAAATGCCTGGTAGCTTGAAAACAAACTCCGCATTTTGTAAAATTTCGTAAATAAAACAATGTATTACCACATGTGACCTCACCTGTTACATGTTTGCAACTATCGCATCACTTCTTAATTACTATTTCCCTCGAAATACATGTTAAAATAAGAGAATTTCGAACAGCTATACTATTTGAACGTTGTAAAATGCCATACTGGATGTTCTTATGTCTCTTTTTGTATTGTTTGTACTTGTATTTTTTGCCATGTATGATGGGATATCTATGGGAAAATGGCGGCGTTTTTTGAGTTTTATCTTATCAATTTATAAATAATTACTCGCTGACACGTAAATACATGCTCAGTGATAGCGCACATATAATAAATCGAGGCGTGGAAGTACAGAGAAGCGGTAAAAATCATAAAAAGTTAGATAATTTTACGTTTAATAGCAGCGCACGTCATGCCAAACAATATTCTATTGCGTCGGCTTGTGACCCTCTCGCCAACGTAGTGTTAAGCGAGAAGGGAACTTGTGGCTAGTTTTAGACATGTTATATAAGGACCTATTTTTGGCTCAGTTTTCAAATGCCACTACAGCCATTGTAATATGTGATATTCGAAATTGGAATTTGTGATCGAGAATCGATCTGGGTTTCTTGCAGTAACTTTGCACTGTAATTGATGCCATTTGCACCTAGCTTGGTTCGACTAAATCACAAAAATCTACTCATGGTGGATTTTAAGCCAATGCAAAGAGATAGTATGACACTACAGAGAAGATAGGCAATAGTGAATAGTTTACATTGAATATTTTGCTTGCAAAAAATTCACAATGCCTGTGTAGCACTATAGTAATACCACCTGCCTATATAAGTCCACTTTGGCATTTCCTTTCACTGGGTGCTATATATACAGGTATCAGGGGCGGATCCTGGGCTGAAGCTAGACAGTATTTTTCCAGATTTTAAAGGCACATCCCCCAAAAAGGACACACCACCCCACAGTGGGTGTTGTTAGGCGCGGAAGCACATGGCGGGGGGTCTGGGGGCCTCCCCCAGGAAATTTCAAAATTTCAAGCGTCCCTGGACACAAAAATGAGCACCATTTGAGCACACATTTAGTCAAGCAGCAATAGCTAAAAACCATATGGAATTTTATTTCTGCTTCATATTTTGCCTGCGCTTTGCATACCAGCAATTAATGCAGAATGATTCAAGCACTTCCCTTCTTTTTCAGATATCAAAGCTAGTTTTGTTACCATGTAAAATTTTGATTTTCTTCAAGTCCTGTCAATGAATCAGAAGAAAAAGAAAACAAATAAAGAATATAGCCAAATTCCACCAAATTGTTTTCTGTATTTTTTAGCGCAAAATTTTGAAGGGCACTTTGAAATCTAGACCGTATTTCCCAATACGGCAAATACGGTCTGAATCCGCCCCTGGGTATTACTGTACGTATGTCATAAATCTTAGGCTCGAACCAATTTAGAAGAATATTCACAAGTACAATGAGCATGAGAAAATAATGGCTGTTTTACTTTTGGACAGGTTGTTGATTTAAAAAAAGAGTTGAAGACACATGGTCTGTCCATAGTTGGAAACAAAAGTGAACTTATAGACCGACTAAAACACTATTTGCGAGAAAAGCATGGACTCCCCAAAGATGAGGAAAATATTGAGAGTGAGCATGGTGAACAGGGTACGTAGACAGCAGCCTTCCAACTCCAAGATCACTAGGCCAAAACAAAATATAGGTGTGGGTACGGTTTCCCGACCGACCCTATTTATTCCCAGCGACCCTAAACATTTTATTGTCAATTTTCTTTAAAGTAAAAAAATAAATAAATAAATAAAATAAAATATGAATTGGACAGTTCCTTCTTCAAAAGGCACAACCTTCGGACATGGTTCGTAAATAAAATATTTCAAGAAAATAAAATGTTTTCCCTACCTACCTACCCTATTTTTTTTCGGCATGTAATGGTAACCACACATATATTTTGTTTTGGCCTAAGTGAATGCAGAAAAATAGTGCAGAAGAACAAACCCCAGCAGTTAATATTTGTGTCTTCACTGTCAACTACACAATGATTGTAAAATTTGATTTTTTGGCACCAATTGAGGTTCCAGGTCATTCACATTTATCCAGTGTTTTTGACGTCTTGATGTTCATTGAATTGGATTGATTCATCCTGTTTTCTGATCTGTCACTATTTCTAATTCAATTGATAGTTTATTTTTCAGTCGTGAAATTTCGCAGTACGAAGAGTAAATTGTTGAAATATTGTCTGGCAATGGAATAGAATCATGACTGGCAGTTTGTCACCTTGATTGACCCGAGCTATGAAGATGGATTAAATCAAGAGCGTATTAATAAGGAGAGCGTACAACGGTGAAATGCTGAAACAATGTTGCAGTATTAGTCGAATTAAGAAACTTTGCCCGTTTTATTTTGACGATTCTTTGCAGTAGTATTGATCAGCTGTCCTACCTTGCTAATATAAAACAAACTGCTTGTCCCTACGATGCTCCTACGCTGAGATAATGAGCGGTGAAAATGTGGTATTTTTGCCGAAAACCAACGAGATCCCTGCTGGCTGTGACCCTCTCTCGTTTTGTGGCCAGTATGTTGCTTCCGGTCGCCGCTGTGTAGCACCATGGTAGCGCTGACTCATTACGTCAGTACTACAGAGTTTACTACATCCAGTGTGAGGTGGGCACAGGTGGGGGCCATCACTATGGCAATCAATAACAGACGACATTCATTCCATTTGTCAATCATTGATGGAAACATGCGAGGTTTCCCGAAGCTATCTCAAATCGAGAGAGGGTCACAGCCAACAGGGATCTCGAGTCGGTTTTCGGAAAAAATACCAGATTTTCACCGCTCATTATCTCAGCGTATGAGCATCGTAGGGACAAGCGGTTTGTTTTATATTAGCAAGGTAGGACAGCTGATCAATAATACCGCAAATCGTCAAAATAAAACAGGCGAAGTTTCTTAATTCGACTAATACTGCAACGTGGTTTCAGCATTTCACCGTTGTACGCTCTCCTTCTTAATACGCTCTTGATTAAATCCGTATGTTTCCATTAATGACTTGATTCTTCTCTCGATAGACGACGACGAGGAAGAGTTTGGAGACGAGTTACTAGAGGAGGTTGACAGTGGGGAGGAGGGGGATGTCAGCATAGATGCCGATATCACTCTTGCCCTAACAACGGGCGAGAAGAGTATCGGTAGCCTGGACAGTAGCTCAGCAGAGGAAAAACAACCGTGAGCATTTGTCATCCCAGTAGCAGAAATGGTCGCCAAGAAACTCCCGAGATATTTCTTCTTGAGTCAACCTTGTGTTTTAGCACATGATCGTTATGTTAGCATGATAATTTAATTATTAATGAAATAGGAGTCCCATAATCTTTGAATATAATTTGAACCATACAAGATATTCTACTGTACGATCTAAATTATTTTCCTTTGTAATCAAGCTATCATTGAGTTTAGTGTTTGTCTTTCAGAGTTGTAGACCAGGCAAATGAAAAACCAACAGAATTTCACGAGAAAGTAGTACTTGCATCACTTGCAGATATACCCGCAGCTGATGTATGTATGCACAAATGTCTGATTTCAAGAATTCATTGAATTAACTTTATTTAAAAAATACATAATAAATAGAATCAATACATTACAATAAATTACTTTAATCAAAGTGCCATTCGTATTTTTGCAACTACAAGAAGATGCCCATGCCATTCTGTGTGTTTATAGAGAAAAGCACAGAGAGCACAAAAGTTTAGCAATGGGTCTACTGCTTTGGATAAGTCAAGTGCCGACCCTGACACAAAGAAGAAATTGAGAGCTGAGAGGTTTGGACTTCCCCTCAAGTCTGCTAGTCAGCCAATAACAGGCGGCACTGAATCTGTGGTGCGTGAAAATACCGTAATATCCCGTAGAAATCATCACAAATGAGCTGTGTACTAAATCTGTTATTGGATTAATCGTATAATTAAAAATTCCACATAATGTTGTGCTAGTAAATGCTGAATTTCGGTTGTACCACTCCTCTGGATATTGTTCTCCTGATGTTATGTATACGGGAAATAAATCCTAAAAATGCCTGCCTACAAATTCTCACTGGAAATGCTAGGTTTGGTTATCACAAACATCTTATTAGCTGGTAGCTTCAGCTTCTTATCAGGCATATAATCTTCCATCATTATGTCGGTAGTCACACGTTTGTTTAGTATCGGCCATATAATGGCTAACTGTTCTCCGAATGTTTTATTGTGTTATGCAGAAAGCCGATCCGGATAAACTTAGCAAGCGGGCAGAAAGATTTGGCTTGGTTACGAAAGAGGTATGTATAAAAGTGTTATAGCTGTAAGCATAGATCATTTCTAATTCTTTTTTATTAGCTCATCGCTTGATCGTCCGTCCGTCCGTTCGTCCGTCCGTGCGTGCGTGCGTGCATGCGTGCGTGCGTCAACAGTTGGGCACAAATCTTAACCGCTCACGTACGGTCACGATATTCGGGACGTGGGGGGGTAACCCGAAAACGAGTTGGGATGTCGAAGCTGGGGGTCAAAGGTCAAAGGTCAAGAGGTTAAAAGAAGGGGGAACATCCCGATCCTTAACTTAAGTATTAGGGAGGAAAGGCAGACATTGCCGGCACCAAATCTAAACGGCTCGACCTAGGCCGTGCATAGTCGTACTACATCATGGTAGAAAGCCATCCACGTGCGAAATTGAGTCAACGAGGTCAATGAGGGCACAGTCAGATTTAGACTTTTACTGAGGACAATGGTCTTGACGGAGCGATTGAAAAAACTTTTTGTATTTCAGTGCCAGCGGTGACCTAGGCATTTTTATGCTTATGAATAGGACCCATGAAATGTGCTTTCCACTGACACGTCGAAGAGTTAAGTGCTCGATAACCTTGACTCCTCAACGAGAGGGTATAAATGGCTTTGTTTACTTGTCCACGAAAGAATTGACTGCGCGGTTGTTGTAGTAAATCTATACATGCCTGATGTATGAGAGCTACAATGTCACAGTGAAATTTCAAAAGCTAAAATTTGGTTGAAGAAAGGTTACTGCTTCCCTTAATCGTATAATTGCTATGCATGCGTAGCTGTCAGTCGTGTTACATGCGACTGTAACCAGCGCCATGCATGGTGGTGATAGTACTGTGTAAGGTTTGCCTGCGTTTGTAATTAGTTACAGTGGCAGCTCTCTATTTCAGCCTGTAGGTCTGCGTAGCGTAAATGGATAGTGCGTACCGTATTCGCCTTGCAAAGTTTTGCAACTACGTACGATGGGAGCTTCCATCTTTAATCTAAGAACACGCTTAAACTTACACGCCATCCTCGTGGCAACTTTTCATAACGATCGCAGCGAACATTCCTTTGAGAAGGTTGCTGATACCATCCCTGTGCCTTCCACTGTTTCGTCGCGTATGTGAACACATTTGGGACTAACAGGGTTTACTAGAATCCCACCACTCCACCACAGAGTCACCGCAGTAGACGTTAGATGAGCGCTGTCGCTCCGCGGCACTTGTTTGGATTGATTTTTTTTATTATAGGATTGGTATTATGGTTGCAGGGCATCAGCAGGAGACTATTGATCTACAATTCGTTTTTAATGTAGCCATTATAATTGCTTGATTTCTTGTATCATTCTTCAGACAATCGAGAATAAAAAGATACAACGTGCCAAAAAGTTTGGAATCTCAACGTCAACCACACCAGTTACAACGGTAATTTGTTAGTGAATATTGTTGGAAAAAAATTATGGAAAAGTGGTTCTGGCAGCAATAAAAACATGTCTACTCTCAGCCACTCTTGCTCTCTCTTCAACTGTACCTTAAAATATTTGCAGAGTGCAGAAGCAAAGGACCGTGATGCCATCTTAAACAAACGGAAAGCGCGGTTTGTAGATGGAGCAGCAGCATCGCTCACTGTACGTGTTTCACTATAGTATTCGTAGAGGAGTTGCTCTAACTATGCTGAGCCTTGACAAGGTTGATGAGTTAAATTGAAAATTTCTGCAAAGAAGTTATTATACTATGCTGTGGGTGCTAAGTAAATTTTTAGACAATCTTATCTTTCCACTGAAATGCTGAGTTGGGTTACTGTCAAAGTGTCAAGGTATAATATTTTGTGGGTGGCTTAGTTACTATTGCTTGCAACTGTGCATGTAGAACCAAGGTAAGGGAAACAGAATATCTAAACATTTGTTTACAAACTTATTTGTTATGATTGCTGTGATAGTCTGTCAATTTGAATTGTTGCGAGATCACTTGGCTTCTAGCTATACACCTACCTGTCCTCTAAACGGAAATATTAGGGTACAGAAATAGGGAATGCCTCGAGGGAGAGCCATTTATATGACAGCTGGAACTGTGTGTGAAGTGATACGTAGGCACCTGTGTGTCTAGAAAAGTGCATCTAGGCACTCTTAGGTGGCGTAGGTATGGGCGTCACTTGAATGAGGCGGGATGCTTAATGGTAATACGTGAATTAAAACTAGTGGCTAGAGAGGCAAATGTGTTTATAAGGCATAGGAACAGGTGAATGCCAATAGCAAGGTGGAATTCTGCAGATTATATAGTAAGCAGAGGACGATAAGGAACTTGCACAATAATGCATACCTACGCTGTCTGCTGAGGTAGTTGTGTGGGGGCTCAGGGAACTTTATAAAAAAATAACTGTATAGTGACAATGCTTAGGTATGTCATTTCTTTCCATTTAATATACACATTGCAAGTGATAATTCGCCTCTGCAAACCTGTTAGTAAACAATCGTGTTTGGTTAAAAATAACTTGTAAACATAATTGATATGTGGTATTGTGTGAAGTATGGATGGGTGTAAAAATCTGAAACACATAACTAACTAGTATTTCTATTTCTACAGGAGGCAAAGAAAAAGCGGTTAGAGAAGTTTGGCCAGCCAGCCTAAACCCAGCAATGAGCTAATATGCTAATTGTTTACACGTGCCCATGTGTGTTTGTGTTATCAAATCCAAGGCGTATTTAACGATTTGGGAATTAAAATTAGGATAAATTGGGACCAACTTCCACAGATATTCTTGTCCGTTTGTGACCCATTGGTTGCAGATATTTTGCTTGTAGTTCATACTATATATTAATTGTGTTAAAAAGATTTGAAAATTACTTAAGGATTGGTCAGGGCAATAATATCTGCTGTAAATGCTTGAAATTACTTCTTGAAAATATATCTTGGTAAAAATTTCTTTGGGCATGTCAACCATTTGCCCTTTGTGGCAATGTTTTCTCTATCGCTCTGCGGGAAGTTGAGTGTAATGAAGTATGTGGAAGGGAAAACTCATTTGGAGTTTCATTTGTATTTGGTAAAGATATATTTTGTATCTGCGAAGGTGGCAGCAAATATATCTTTAGTGTTTTATAATGCAATCAGTAATCCTGAAAAGCGCATTTTATAATTGGGGAGCATGTTGTATGTTATCAAATGGTCTCATTATTATGGTGCGTTACTGTAGTGACAAAACCATCTTTCTAGTTCAATGCATAGAGCATTCCAGGTAGTTTAATTTTAGATTGATTTTTGACACTAGTTTGACTTAGTTTGTGATTCTATAATTTTAAATGCATTCATAGCTGTTCTTGAAAGCTATATGTCAGGGTAAAAATGAGTATTTAAATATGTATGTGTATTGTCTCTGATCATGTCACATAAATATCCATACTAAATGTACAACTTCTAAATCATATCTCGAAAGCTCCCTTCTACCAAAACCCATCACCAAAGTCCTCATTATGGATGTCTATTTCAACCTGATATTGATGGGCTTGTTTTTTAGAGTTGGTGCTTGTACATTTTAAACTACCATATTTTAGTGAAACGTTTAAGTAAACGTTTATTATATGTAACAAGTCAACCACACATTGATTTTCGTGTAATAAAAATATAGTTGTTTTTCAATGCCGTAAATGTGTAAATTCTCTGTCCTGGTGTATGTTCTGTATGTAATCAATGTTTTCATGATCAAATAACGATTTCATCATATCAATGTATCAGCTTGAAAATTGTTCATCTTTACCTGTTTTCTATCTACTCGCGAAATGACGCTCGTTACACTGATGAGACTACGATGATTTCTCTAAACCCCGGCCCGATTCATAGTAATCTCTTAGTAAAATATTGACTTGATACGAAGACAATAATACAAGGATCCTGTTACTAACATAAAATTTTCTGTCCCGGTATATTCATTTCTATATAAAACACTTTGTACACGCCTTCTAATCCATTGTTTTTCTCTTCAAATTAAGGCTAATATAATATACGGAACCCGCTTAATACGATTATTTTTCTTTGGCCCGTCAGTTAATTTTTGTACTAAGGCTTTATTTACTTGCAAGGTTTAGGCTTTGCAGTAATTGTATCTATTTGTGAACAATTTAACGCTACTAAAGTTCTTAATTATACATATAAACCATACCTTCATGCTTCCCCACGTATAATAAGTACTCTAGCAGGAAAAATCACGCAGATAAGGTGTATATATGTTCCCCTGACCTCTGTTTGACCTGGCTCGTTTAGCTATTTCTAACTAATATATATATATATATATATATATAATGTATATAGGGTTAGCTAGGGTTAGTCAGAAATAGCTAAACGAGTCAGGTCAAACAGAGGTCAGGGACTTGGGTTCTGTCATAGACTACTGTATCCATTATAGTCTGAATCTGTGGTTGGGTTTTTGCATAGATATATACAATTAACACGTGTTGACAATTTGATCAAACAATGGTTGTTCAACGCAGCTAATGTCGTCATAAAATTAGAGAAGATGGCAAGTTTAGTGAGCAGAATGTATATTGAATGAACGTACCGTAGGCGAAATAGTATATGAGATCAGCTGCTAGCTTAATTTATATGTGTATGAGTGCAAAGCAACTGTAATCTGTTAGTTTGTATCATTAATTGATAGCACTAGGAAATCGAGGTTCTCTGCTTTTTGTTAGCAGGTATTCATTCACCCATTGTGACCTCATCGATGATGATAAGAGATGTTCTTCTGACTAGTTATGCTAATCCACTGTTGTCCCTTATTGAGCAAAGTGATGTGTCTGTGAGGTTTATTGGTACTTTGAGCTTACTGTGGACTGTCCTTCCTCCAGCGAGCAAAGTTGCAGCAATGCCACTGGTGGCTAAATCAAGACAAATTTTGCCTTGGCTTCTAACATATGATGTGATGGTTGTGAGAAGGAAAGTCTTTCCAGTTCCACCAGGAGCATCAATTGGAAAAAGACCAGGTTTGTTGTCATCAATTGCTGTCTTCAGAGCTAGGAATGCCTGTAGTTGGTCGTGGTTCAACTTTGCTTCATTGTCGTTTGTCTCCTGTTGAAGCCTTTCTTGAGAGTACTGTAGTTCTTGCTGCACCTCAATAGGATCATGTGTCACAAATTCAGTTGGCTGTGAAGGCTGTGGAAGGTTGAAGTCTGTGATCATGTCTTTGCCAGCTTCATGAAACATTGTTTGGAGTTGCAGCATAACTTGATTTATGATAGCATCTGTTGGTTCGGCAAATTTGTTTGGTTGAAGTCCTGACACAGTTCAGTTTTGAAGGTTTGAAAGAGCTGTGCAGGGTTTGCAGGCATTGCATGAATGAGCAATGTCACAAAGCAGTGTCTTAGTTGTGGGCCAAATTTAATTGTGGATGCCTCTTCCATAGCCTTGTAAGTTTCCTGGTCATCTTCAAATAATCCTAGATTAATGCAAGCCTGTTGGTATGTTTCACATAGCTCTTCATTTACAGTTCTCAGGTCTTCAAAGCTGGTAGGACCTTTAACATGGTAAAGGAGCATTCTAAAGAAGTATTTCTCCTTGTTGTGGCAGTTGATTGATATGACTGGAATTCGGCCAATCATGTCGCTTTTTGCTTCATCATTTGATATGTTGCGAGTTTTCCTTTTCCTTTGCGTAAACTTCTTGCATTTGGCGTCCCACATATAATGCCTTAGGATGTCAGTGTACAGGTATTGGCGTGCATTTGGGTCAATTGTATTCAGTGTAAAGAACTCTGTGAGTTGATTTTTTTCAGAATGAGCTGCAGCATCTGCAGGATGTTGGTTTTTATGCTCGACTGGACGGACTTGCGGCCCCGGTTTTTGCGCACAGCGCACAGCTCGCGGTGAAGCCGCGCCCCAACAGCGAATACGCCGCCCCCTTTTTGTCCACTTAGACAGATACCTTAGACAGGGGTCTGAAAACGAACTCCGCGAAAACTGGGCGCAATCCAACCGACATTTCGTGATGGACGGCAGGAGGCCATCTCCAAACGGCCCCTAAACTTTTTTGGGGGTGGCGCGCCTCATGGCTAAGACGTAGTGACTCCTACAAGAAACCTCAAGAAATGCTGTCAATCAGCGATGACGCGCTCGCTCATTGGCCGCTACACGATGACGTGAGCTACTGCCGAGTATAGTGTTATGTCTATCACAGAGCTTTTAACGAAGTGTCGTACGGCGCTCCACGTGGGGGGGCGTGGTCTAGATGCTATCTCCAAAAGCGGCGCTGCCGTGGCGGCGCTAGCTGGTTGCGAACGTGCCACGTTTCGACCAACCTGACCCCACGCTGCCCGTGGCGACGGCACGTCGTGCGAGCACCTGCGCTGGCGTGGCTAGCGTGGCAAACCAGCAGCAGCACCAAATACTGGTCCCTGCTAGCTGCTGCAGCGCGGCTCTGGAGCAGCAAAGTAGCAGCAGCAGGAAATGCCCTCCCCCCAAGGTCGCCATAGTCAAGCCGGTGTACGTCTCACAAAAACTGCGCGATGTTGCGCTTCCCGCTATACGGATTCGCGCGCCCGCCCTCCTTCGGCGCGCGAATTCGTATAGCGGGCAGCGCGAGATGCTACATACAACACCCGCGGTCGCGTGCGCCCAGTCCCGCGGAAGTGCGCGGCTTAACCGCTATCGGCGGTCGGGGAATAACGCATCTTTTGCGCAACGCCATCTTGTACCCGGTCTCTCTGGTTACCATCTGTTCATTTGGTAGATGAATGGGCATTTTGTGCACCGAGGGATACTTGTGGCTTAGATTAAAACCATCGAGTCTCCAAGCAGCTTCTGATGCTGATATGTATCTTGCATCAACAAACCTCTGTATTTCATCATATGCCATTTGACCACTGCACTTGTTTCAACCATAACACGGTCAGCACCTTTGTTAATGTACTTATACAAGTACTTGACACCACCAACAGAAGCAACAATTTCGACATTAATATGTGCTTGGTATTTCAGTAGTAGTACTGGGTTGTAGGAGACATGAGCAAGCTAGGTTACGTGACAGACTACTGTATCCCTTAGCCGGTGGTTGCGTGTTTGTAAGCCTACACCCAATGCACCTAGCGGAAATGAACTGAATCGTGCATGTTTTCCAGGGAGATTTTCCATTCGATTTTCTAAATATGTTTTTTTAAACATTTAACCCAATAAATAACAAAAAGGAAAGTGTTAGAATCGAACCTGATGCGTAGGAATGAAGCACGAAAAATTTAGCCGGATTCGTGCACGCGCCTAGAAGTTATGCAGAAACAAACAGAACAACACTACTCAAATTATTATATTATAGATACTTTCTTTACATGCAAAGTCAACAAACATTCACCGTTTACTCTGTCTACTATTTTATTATCTCAATATACAATGTTATAGGTAAAATACCATTATTTACAGATCGGTGCAAATGTGAAAACGCTGCAAACCGGTATTTATTCAGATGCACGCACTTACTTGCCTTAGCCAACCATAAAACAACTGATGCACTTTGGAAGGCATACCAAATAAGAAGTGCACTCACTGAATAACAAAACAATTTATTTTTTCTGTGACTTTATAGACATGATTCACCGTTTCTTAATGCAAGAATTCCATTATCTGAACGGGCTGCATTATATCCATGAAATGGTGCACACGGTATGTACACGCAGTAGGGTCCCCATGAAACATCAATGGAATACAGCAACAAAAAACTCCTGTGTTGACATACTGGCCAGCCGACTCTCAAGGTAATGTGAACTTTCAATGACCAATCATAGCTCAAACAACAAAATGACATAAGATATATATGTATATATATTTATTTAGATAACATGTTCAGCGGATATATTAACATGATTAAAAATACTTCCTGACGCCGCTGTTTCATTAACTATGACGCCATGTCTAACAGAAACCATGGTTTACTAATAAAGGTTCCTCGCTGCAGCACCAATACTGATGGATCTCACGTCCAGCATCTATATACACACACCCGTCATAAATCTCACTGTGACACCACACGTGTGACCCTCGTGCCATAATTCTGCGAGGAAAGCACACGAGTAATAATGCTCTCACAGTCTCGCAATGGCACCATGCGTAACAATGTCATGATATGTCCCGGCCACGAGTTGTAACGTTGGTATCATGAGCTTGCCATGATAAATATCCCACAAATCTCTGATAACACTCTTGCCTTCTTGTAGTAACAATGCCGTAGTCCGATTTGTATACATAGCATGTTTAGCTGTGACATCACAGCTGTATGCCAGCATGGCATCGTTTAGCACTAACATTCATACTTACACCATTTGGCTGTCACTTTAGGAGGAAAGCTGTTGTGCAGCAGCTATCACAGTGACTTGAAATGTCTTGAAACTCTCTACACTGCACAAAGCATTCCCGTCTCTCTACACTGTACAGAGCTTTGCGATATCACTGATGGCTACTGCTGACGACGGGCAGTGTTGAGTCCCTCTCTACACTGTACAGGGCTTGATATCACTGGTGACTACTGCTGACGACGGGCAGCAGCTGACCGTCCTGCAGCACGTACTGCATGATGCCCTCGCCCGACGACACGGCCTGCTGGTGCAGCGGCCCCTGGTCGAGTATCTGCTGCAGCTCGGCGACCTCCTGCGGGCTGATCTCGACGTAACCCTGGGTCGGCACGCCCTGCGGCATCATCATCTGCTGCGCCTGCTGGTGGCTCGGTATCTGCATGCCGGTCGGCAGGTGCAGGGTGTA